TTCAGTGTCAGAAGCACAGAAGCTGCCAGCCAACACAAGCGCCCTCATCATAAGCAGGTTATTGAGGAGCAAGCCTCTACCACGGTGTCTATTGCAGATAGCATTAAGATGTGTCACTTCTTTCTAATGCTGCTTTAAGCATTAAAAAAAAAAAACAACCTCCACAACTATTTTTTTTCCAGTAATAGTTAAAAGGAATACAAGATAACTGTCCTTTTATATTAGTATCTCTTAATCATTAGATAGACTGCCCTATCACACAGTTAGAAGAGATGGAAACGTAAAGATGGCTTATCACAAACTCCTACTAATCCTTCTAGAAACCCTCTTTGTTCTGAAGGCATATTAAGCTACAAAGAAATACTTCAAGATAAAACAATCTTACTGAGGCACAACACTCGAACTCAATCACAGCCACACTGACAGAACAGTTGCAAGTAGTAAAGGCAGCGTGAAGTTTTTAGCTAAGAGCATATGCCAGTCTTGGATGTTGTGCCATCAGGGTAAGTGCACAGCATCTGTAGATGTTTAAGCAGTAGTTACAAATCCAATTGTTTGTATAGTATCTAGAGAATATACTAACACATATGCTTTTACTTTTGGTCACCAGTTTTATTCCATGGAAAGCTTGTGCTGTCTGAATAAATACCACGAAGTCTCTCCTCTGTAAAAAAAAAAAAAAAAAAAACACACACACTCTGGTTTTAACTACTGCAGATAAAAATGACAAAGTAAATTTACATACGTAAAGCAGCTTTTAGAAAAGCTTCTACTGTAAGTTTCAATACCATATTTTTCACGTATTTTTAATAAGTATTTTTACTACGTAAAATTTAATAAGTAAAATAAGTAAATCATATTTTTAAGTAAAATCACTTGAACATTAGGAAAAAAGCTTCATGCAAAAAATTTACTTCTATTCCCCAAAATGGAAGTTTCACATGTACTGTCTATACAAAAATCAATAGATAGGATTGGTTTCTCTGCAAGAAAACAAGTTACTGTCAACACTCAGAATGACAGAAGTGACCCATGAGCTATCTACTTGAAGTTGTAGGTTTCTTAGATTTAATCTGGGTGTCATCTTAGTAAACCAATCCTGTGCTACATTCGCTTCTTAGTGAGAAATCTGATTTCCAGGAAGAGCATTAGAGAATAATGATGTTCTGTTTAAGAACAGGGAGGAATATGGGCATGTGTTCCAAGTTGTGTTCTATAGTGTTCTATAGTTCTATTGTGTTCACAGCTTTCCTTTCACATCTCCTGTGACCAGTAGTAAAAAAGAAAGCATTTTAAGTCCTCAGGAAGATGCTTAAGAATTTTTTCCATCCACACACTGAGCTTTTCATACAAAAAGAGAAAAGCAGTATACTTAAAGCAATGTAGGAAAAAAAAACATCATTGTCTAGTTCTACGTAAGTCATATTTCATCTGAACATAAAAAATATTCCTCTTAATACTCAAAACTATCCCTAAACTTTTTAGATACAGTTCTGCAGGTATTTTGCTTTAGCACACAATTTCAAGTATACTACTCAAAACTAATTACTATATATGAGGTGAACATTTTAGTTACCTGAATAGAACACAGATGTTTTGCTACACAACTAATAAAAACACACAGATTGGAAGATAATGTTCTCTTACAGTGTTTAAGCAACATTTCTGACTGATCAATATAGACAATATAATGATGGCCAAGACAACATGCATTGTGATATATGTTATTTTATGAACAGTAACTACTTGGAAGATCTCATAACATAATTGATGTTCAGAGATTAACCTGTTCTAAGGAGGCTTTTTATAACAAAAGATTGTTAAATAAGTTTAATACTGGCATTTAGTTATAGAGTCACCTTTGACCACTATAAAGTAGTAATTTGTGAGACAAAATAAATTTACTGCCCTTGTAACAAAATAATTTCTCTTTCTTAAAACCAGATTGGTCTATGATAAGAGCTTGACACTAATTTTGAGAATAAGTTAATACAGTCTGGTCCAAAAGTCAGTCCACTTATAGTCTACAATTTCTCATCCGATTTAAGATAGCACAGGTCAGCACTGCTATTAAAAAATATAATCTTGCCTTCCTCCACTGATTTTGTTCCTTCCTTAACTTTCATCTTTCCTGGTGCAAAGAAAATTTGTAGAGCTATTTGGTAAGCAAGATCAGTTACCTGATTCAGATTAAAATTAACCCCTTTTTTCTCCTGTTAACTATAATCCGCATCAAGTCTCTGATCAGGTTAATCTGCCACTGTTTAAATCCTTATACAGGCACAAGAGGAAGCAGCATGAGGGCAAGAGTAAGCTGCAATACATGAAGACCTATGAAACAACATATGATTCCAAAACCCTCTCTGTATTGTTTTTCTTTGAGTGTATGGGTCTAAAACACATTCTATACTGTCCTCGGTGTTATGTGAGAGCTTGTCTTCATTCTATTCAGATTGTTTTTCTCTTTATGCTTTGAAAACATAGAGCAGAATTCTGGGTTTATGCTATAAATCCTGCAAACTGTCTACTTGGAAAGGAGGAGGATAACTGATAATTTGAATTATTCTTCTCTAAAGCAACAACAACCTCCTTAACCACAGAAGCAAACAAGAAGACCTAATTTTTTATTTTTAGGCAGTTACCATAGCAGGGCAGTTCTTCAGTCTCTCATAGATTTCTTTTGGATTTGCTAATCCATCCCTGCCAACCAAGATTTATGTCTGGCCCCTAGCAAACTGCTTACCTTAAGAATACTGCTGAAGGATATTTAAGAAAAATATATCCCCAAGGAAACAGCAGTAGTAGATTCCTTTAGAGGCTTAGTCCTGCTTTTCTAATTACAAATTACACTCCAAGGTCCAGTGAGAGTTTTGACCCAGAACTACATAATATGTTTCTTAATGACAATTAGATTATCAGCATTGCTCTGCTTTTCTGGCTATACAGACTATGATTAGCTAGCATGGTATTTAAGCTAACAGTGCCAAAGCTACTCTTCCATAGCCTATATCCTGCCCATATGTCACATCATAGCAATTAGCTCAAAAACATCCCAGTGTTCTACCCTGCCCCCTGGAAAGTCACCTTAGACAAACTTCATTTAATCTTTCAGGTATCTCAGATACTATAAAAATAAAAGTTAGCAATGATCATTAGGGAAAATTTTGGTAGACCTCAACAGCAACATTAAGCACAAGTTCAGACAGAAGGCCCACTCCCAGCTAATTACAATGTGATCCATGTAAACTCCTTAGAAGATAACACTCATTAATACCCTCTTACATCACTATTTTGCCACACCAAAGTTGTGTGCCTCTATGCTTTCATAAAACCCTCTATTTTGTCTTTTATGGTATGCTAATCACAGAACTACTGGTAGCAGGAAATAGGTTACCTACAATACAGGAAAATCCTGTAATCTGTGTTTCATTAAGCCTATTTGCCAGATGTGAAATGGGACATCGTGGGTTTTTTCCTGAAGTAACATGACTGTGCACCTGCAGGAAATCGGTAGGGGGGAAACAAAGAAATGGTGATACTGCATGTGCTGCTGGCCTCTTAGTCATACTACTGTCCATCTGCATGCCTGAGAAGAACAGTCAGCAAAAGATTTACTAAGTCTGCAAGTCTTTCTTAAAATACAATGAAATATTACCAAGTAGCATTTTTAAGTGAGTGTATGAATACTGATTTCCTCTATGAATGAGCCTCTACTAGTCAGGAGATGAGATAAGCAGATGCTAGGCAAGAAACCATATGAATCAGAGAGTAATTTGTAGTAGTGGTTTATTCCCCTGCATTTGCCTTTTTGTTCCTTGCTCACATCTAGAATGAAGTGGTGATTTCTTTTTCATCCTTGTCAGATAGCTTATCAAGTCAGGTGTTACTTCCTGCAAAGAAAATTAAGAGAAACACTTGCAAAGATAGAGAGCTTTACATTCTATTTCCTGCTTGTGAAGTGCAGAAAAAGTTGCTTTTGTTTTTTTTCTGGATAACATGGGTTTTTTTTAGTGTTCTGTATTGTAGCTTAGTTTGTCTTTGGAGTTTATAGCTAAATATTTAAGTATGAAGTGGGTTCAGAGAAGTGTTTGTTCAATTTCTCAAAAAATTCTTCGAAGTTTTCGCCAACATTCATTCATGCCAAACACATAATGCAAAAGTGATGTTGGATACATTTCTACAAGGTTAATTACAACAAAGTCACAGGACAATTAGAGACTCATAGATAGACTGAGAACAGTCAAGACCAAACCTTCACTAAGACTCCTAGTACAGTCACAGACACAAAGACCCAGATTTTTAGGGTCCTTCCCTACTTTAAGATAATCAACAGGCACCTTTTTAAAACCTAAACCATTTGCTGAATTGAAGACCATGGGCCACTTGGACAGCTGGAATCAAGAATTATCATTAGGATGTACCCAAATCCTTTGAAAGAAAATCCCATGGGGATTTGTAATGTTACAACACAATGGAAAACACAGCAATAAAAGCATGGTGGTGAAGTCCCAGGCTTCAGCAAGAGAAAATAAACTCAAGTACAACAACAATAAACAAAGGAAAAAAAAGCCTGCTTACTCTTACAAGGCCTCAAGCAGGCAGGGAGCTTCAACTAAATACCCTTGTCTCCACTGCCAGCCCTTAAATAAAGCCTACAAAAGAATGGAATCAAGATCTATCCCTTCTAATCACTCAGATACATTGCATGCACCTGAGCTCCCCTCGGTTGGCCCTACCTTCCTACCTGGTGCTCAATTCAAGCTGTAACTCACTATTTCTGTTACAAGTTGTGTGTTTTTTTTTTTTTTTTTTTTTGTTTTTTTTTTTTTTTTTTTTTTTTTTTTTTTTTTTTTTTTTTGTTTTTTTTTTTTTTTTTTTTTAATATCTACCAGAAGAGAACTACTTATAATCACTCATATTTAAGAGTCACCAAATAGCATACATCAACAGGATTAAGATCAAAGAGTGGACTCCTCTTAGAGAAATAAGTTCTTACCTACCAGCTGGTATGATCTCATCTCTCTTGCTTACTCCTCCCAGCATTGAGTTCTTTGCACCCTAGCACCCCAGTTCCAAAAGAGTCCCACTTCAGAAGTTTCCTACTTAGTAGAAAATGACAGTTAAGAAAAAAATAATAAAAAATAAAAAAATAAAAATTTAAAATTTTAATTAAAAAAGTGACTTGAGATTTCTTTGGCTAAAGAGAAACTCAACTGGGCATATAGACTTTCCAAAAAATTTATCTATTACTATATTACATCTAGGACCAACAACAGCTCCTCAACAGATAGCTTTCTTTTCTGGTGAAAAAAAAACTCTTCATTTTGTACAAAGAGCAGTTTCTGGACTGCAGAATATGAATTCATAAGTCTAATTCACAACAAGGCTCTAACTTGAAGAAACTCATATATAATTATCGTTTACCCGCACAAAACAAACAAACAAAAAAAGTTAATACCTATATAACCAATAAACATACAGACCTTACAATTCTAAAACACACCAGAGAATTTGGTTAAATACACTATTTCACTAAAACAGAAAACATAAAATATTTACATGAGTTCTGGGCTCACAAAAAAAAAAAAAAAAAAACCTCCTAGAAGCCAGACCTCCAGAAGAAATACTTCTTGGCAGTCAGCTCTTAAATGGCCCTAGGAGAGGTGCAGCCAGGCTCCACCCCTTCCTGCAGCACAGGTGAATTGCCTTCAGCTGTGCTCCTGTGGCTGACTCAGTGCTGGTCTCAGGTGATCAATCAGTGGTTCAGGCTGTGACTCAGCAGTTTCCATACAACGGTGTAATGTTGCTCATTTTGAACTTGGATTGTTGAAATTCCAAGAACGTGCCCTAACTGTACAATGTGAGCTGTCCACATTTGTCTCTAAGTGAGAATCAGTTAAAGGTTTACACACCAAAGAACTTACGTGTCTACAAAATGTGAGCTGTCAAATGCTATTGCCTTGAGATTCTTTTCCTTAAGTTTAAGCTAGAACAGTTATTTATAAGCATTCTGTTCTTTAGCATGTAGCCAGTGGAAACCATAATCCTGACAGAATTCAATGTTTTTTCATTTGTTGGCCCTGGAAGCTGTGCATTAGTAAAATAAATAAATTAAATAAACAGCAACATCTGTTCCAGTCACTAGAGGCTTGTTGCTGGAGTTACCTGCATTGAATGGGAGGAGAAGCTCTAGCACAGGAATTCTGCTTTCTACAGTAGAGATTAGTGGAATTACTAGGAATAAATCATAGAATCAAAGAATATCCTGAGATGGAAGGAACCCACAGGGATCATGCAATCCACCTCCTGGATTCTAGAAATTAAGCCACAGAGCATTGTCTAGACACTTCTTGAACTCTGGTTGCTTGCATCTGTGACCTCTGTCCTGGAGACCCTGTTGTAGTGCCTGACTATGCTCCGAAAAACAACCTTTTCCTTGCACTCTGATGTAATTCTATGCTAATTCCTTGGGTTCTGTCATTTCTATGATCCATGGGAATGGCAGCTGTCAGGGTACACAATGTTTTTGTCCCTAATTTTGATCAGTAGAGTCTATGGCAATGTTATTCCCATAAGAAAAGGGCTAAAGGGCAGTTAATGAAGCGATCTGATTACAAGTTTAAAGCCATAGTAAACAGGTGGTGGATCTAGTGGGAGGTGTGGTGTATGAGGACTGCTGAATCATGGTCTGAACCTCTGATTGACCTCTGAACTGAGGCGAGCACTGAGTCAGCCTTGGGAACACAGGTGAAGGTAATTCACCTGTGCTGCCGGAATGGGTGGAGCCTGGCTGCACCTCTCCTAGACCCATTTAAGAGCTGACTACGAATAGAGAAGCATCTTTTTTGGAGGTTCCTCCTTTGAAGTTTTACGGTGAGCTTAGGGTAAGGGAAAACGTTCTGTCTCCTTTTTGGTGTAATGATCTGCTTAACTAGGTTCTCTTGTGTATTTCATAATTATAATACTTGTATGGTAATTGGTTCTATGTGTGGAGAGTAGCTGAGACCTGGGAGGGCATGTTAGTTTGTCTTGTTAGATTTGTAATCATTGTAGTATGGTGGTTGTGAGTCAACAGCTCAAATGAGTTCAAAAGAGAGTAACTAAAATGGAAGAGAGAGTAACTAAATGGAATGAGGAAGCAGGAGAGGTTGGAAGTTCCTTTGTTTTTTATGTTTTGAAGACATAAATTTAATGTAAGTGAAAGAGAAAGGATCTAAGTATGGACTATTGAGAGTAATTCTTATAGATCTGGGAAGACTGAAATTTACTGTTTTCTAATTCAAGCACAGAATGTCCATCAAATAAGTCAGATGGATTCAAGGGTGTGTTGGTTACGTAGTAATGTGAGGAAACATCAGAATGCTAGTGAAGGGTTCTTCAACTTTGTGTGAGAGTGCTTTTCAGTTTTAAAATTACACTTCAGTTTGCAGTGTAATTTCCAGGCTTACTGCAGTGTCATGTAAAGGAGCATTATGACCAGTACCTGATTGCTGCTGGGTTGCCATTTCTTTTTCAGCTCTTCTCTATCTTGTATTAGTTATAGCCTCTGAAGAGCAACAAGAACACATGTCCATCGCAGTTATAGAAATCAGGGCTTGCCACATGAAGGTATTTATTGTATAGTAACTAAATTTGGTAATTGCAGTTGTTTGAAGTATAACTACATATGGTTTGCCTTGGGTAATTATGTTTTAAAGCACAATGAGCTATATAATTTAGTTAGTTCTGGAAACTAACCCCTGGAAAAGTTGCTGTGGCTAATGCGTTTTTCATACTGATTTGATGCTAATACAACTTCACCAGATTTAATGGAATTAATCCCAATTACCATTTACATAAATGCAAAGGAACCTTAGCATCAGTGTTACTTTACTTATTGTTTTATGTGTGTTTGAAGCTTATAACCCGAGTTGATTCCACATAAAATTGAAGTTTACTACAAAGTGATCTAATTGTTCTGATTTCACACGTAAACTGCTGTGGCAAGCAACAGAACAAACAATGATACGCTGTTGTTTGGCCTTTTAGGTATGCAATACTGTTTGAGCATTCAGAAGCTTTTTGGCTGTGTTTTTATCAATGAAAAGTCTGTGAAACTGCTTGACTGAAAATTACCTTTTATTAATGTCTCTCCTGTAGCTTTCTAGAGGTAGGACTAATTGTCTGTATCAAATGAAAGAGAAAGCATTTGAATTTTGAGATGTAAACGAAGCCTTTGTTTCTCCTCTTTGATCAGTTATGCTTTAGTGGGTGTGTGGTGTGACTCCCTCTGTCACCTCATTATCCATCTCTCTCCTCTGCCTCCTGTTACTAGTTGGCTTCTATCGACACCAGATATTTCTTCTTTTTTTTTTTTTTTCCGAGGGAATATTCGTACCTCATTCATTCTTCTGTGATGTTTAGAAACCCCATCGCGAACTTTAAGCTATTAGGAAATGTTCTCCTATTGGAATATCAAGTACATCGGATTTGGTTGTTGGTTTTCGTTTTGTTTTTTTTTGTTACTAGACTGCCACTCCATGGCCATATGTATCAACTACAGCTTTAGCTCCAGTGATGTGAGCTGTACTGAAGGAAATTCTGTGAATGTATGATAGAAAATCTGGGGTTTGTCTTGATTCTTTCCAGAGAGAGGGTTGTTACCCTAGAGAGGACTAAGGAAAAAACTACTATTTGTAGGCACGGGCAAGCCTGATATTAAGTATGTTATGGACTATCTTTTTGATCATCAGTACTGTGTGTTCTCTGGTACCCTAACATGTAATTTAGTGCTATGTTGCTTGTCCAGGCTGTTAGGGGTAGAATTCCTGGAAATAATTTAAGTTGAATTTTTAAATGAGAGAACATCAAATATTCTATGCCAGTAAGCGAAAGGACTTTCCCTGGGTAATCAAGTAGATAATATGACTGAAAAATGTCTGGTCCTTTTTAACTATGAAGTTTTGTTGGTTTTGAATCTGTGCAACAATTAAATAATGGAAGTGAATTGCAGCATGTTTTCAATGTAGAGTCCTCTATGTAGTCGTACAATTGCTTAGAAGTGGGCTAAAGGGGCAGCAGTTTCCATCTTAACATTTACTTGGAATTTTTTCACTTAAGCAAGGTTAAAATACTCTGCCTAATAAGTTACTGCATATGTCACTATTTTGTCATCTGCTTCTGAAAACTGAGAGTCTTGAAATTTAGCACATCATCCATCTGGAATACAGTGAGCAGACTACAGATTTGTTTGCCCACAAGCACTTCTGCTCAAGTTGTTCTGTGTCAAGACCTTTCACAGCCAAAATTCATGTTGAAGATGGTAGGAATGGCATTGCCATTATCCCTGAGCAGTTTTGCCTGAGCAACTGAGATGAAAACAAGCTCAAAATGCATTCCTTCTTCATAGTTAGCCCACTTAAACTCAGAGGAAATAAACCTAGGCTGATGGAGATCTAATTTCTTGAAAACATTAGCCTCTAAATAGTGTGGTTCTTAGTTTATATCACACTAGTAAGCATCACTGACTACACAAAATATTGTAAAGTTTTCAAAATTATACCATTTCCTGTATATACAACACCTAGCATTTGAAAACAATTTGAAAAGCCTGAAGTTGAGAGCAATGGGAACTTGTTCAGGTGGAGAGGAGGTTTAAAAAAAAGTCTTATTGACCACAGTAGCTTAAAAATAAGCTAAAGAAAATATTATACTTCGTATTTTCCTGGGAATATTCTGTGGTATTCTCTAGCCTAGGGTTGCTGGAGTTTGGGGGAAGGAGGATTGTTGATAATTTAAGAGCTTGCTCTTCTTAAAATGAAAATCCATCATAAAATCTTATTTGATTAAACTGAAAGGAGTGCTGACCTTTGGCTCTGGCAGTAACATTGTTTCAGAAAATCTCCATGGCATTTTAATTTTTTGTGTTAACGTAGATTGAAATTAGAACAAGGAACAAAACTTCAGAGGGTAATATTCTCCAGGATGTTCAGCCCTAAGATCTGTGGGCAGAACCCACAGTTAAAAGCGCTAGTTAGTTCTGCCAAAAAGCTAATGGTGCCAATATCCTAATAAACCTTATGATCATGTGTGTGTGGAGGCACTGAATGCCCCTGTTATATGCCCTCATTTAGGAATATTACCAGTAAAATTTGTTAGCAGCAGGAGAGTGAGAAAGAAGGGGACACTTATCAAACAACATAGAACAGCAGCTCAGAAAGAAGTTGGATGAGATGTTGGTTGACTATGGGAACTAAAACAGTACAGAAGCAGGTAAAAAACGACCTAATTTTCATAAGTATTTGTGCAGCAGTCAGTGCATGCAAGAGCAACATTCAAGTCATGGCTTAAAACAACGCATTGAAGTTGCAAGGAACTGTATTTAAATATAAGTATTTTAAAAGAACGGGGTTGCTGCCCAAATAGCTAGAGAACGGAATGCAAAAGAAAGGGAGGCTGCTTGAAGCATGATGCTGGCAGCGCTGGAACCTCCTCTGCAGCTTATTTGTCTGAGCAGCAGCACCAAGGTCCCTAGAGGACTGATTGTGCTGTGTACAAACCTGGCTGGTGCTGCAGTGCAGCAGTCTGACACCTAACACCTGCAGCTGAAGTCTGCAAGCAAAGCTGAAGAGTGAGACTCAGAGTACTAGGCAGTGCAAAAACATTAGCAAAATTTGTGTCAGATATATGCATGAGCAAACCACATAGGCATACAGGTAGTGAAAGCTAGGTTAGCTGTAGCTTACAATAGTTCAGCTGTTGATTTAAAAGGCTGAATTTAGCTGCCGATCAGATCTTGTAGCAGTCAGCTCAGTTCTTGATGTGCTGGAAGAAACTGAATGATTTCTTCTTCATGGAGATATTAAACATGTCTCTTTATACAGCATGTCCTGAAATTTTTGTGTAACTTGGTTTCCATTTTTCTTCGGTGTTCTTCCAAAGAATTGGGAATCCTGTACACTGCCTTCTGGTTAGAGTTATGACAGATCTGCAGTAGGCCTGCATGGAGCATAGATTATGCTGCTGAGTTCCAAATACAGCTATTCTCAAAACACCACTGTCCCTTTGTTTTTACAGTGGCACTGTATTACAGACCTGTATTTATTTGATTTTTTTTCACCTGTATCTCTGAGGCTTTGCTTCTGAGACAGTTCTGAAAAATGGTAAATCCATGTAAAACAAAAGAATTTGCCAATGCAATATCAATGTAATATTTTAGAAAATAAAAACATTTCTTAATAGCACAAAGTGATCCTAATACCAAGTAAGGTGGATTTTTTTGGTTTATTTGCCTTCTTTTTTTCTCTCATCTGTCTTGACAGTAAACAACTCAAGGCAGGAAAGACAGTTCTGTGTGGTACCCCACATAAAAGGGTCCAGTCTCAGTTGGAAGCTGATTGTGTTATTATAATGATACTAACAAATTCTTTAGCCCAAATTCTTTAGCTCACCAGATTACATTTCACTGTATGTAGTTCCTCACAGCATTTCTTCCTTGTTAATATTCTGGTTTATTGAGGAGGAGGAGATCAGAAGGAGCAGGAATCCACTACTGCACTTGCAAAATGTTGGAGATTGTGGTTCAATTAAGAATGATAGCTTGAGAGATTGGGTTGTTAGTATCCCTTTCAGTTATCCAGAGGTCTGTCCTCTCTGACCTAAGATCAAGTTTGGCTTTGAAACAATGTCCTGTTTTGATTCTCCTGCTGTCTCTGATTATCTGTTTTGTTCATTCTATTTCTTTTCACGTTGCGTTTAATAAGCTGTTTCTTTTTCTCTTGGCTTGACTGCTTATTCTGAATATGCATGGAATCTGCAGCAACCACCTTCAGGCACTGGTGAATCTTCAATACTATTATTTATAACAGATATTTTGTGGACACTACACACGGAGAGGTGGTAAACTTATTGAAGTGTAAAAAGAAAAACTGCTCAGCACAATGCAATGCTTCAGGAACACATTTTGATATAGCTCTCAATCACACACAAGCATGAAGTTTTACTATCTGTCATAAAAGAACTGAATGTGATAAATTCTGTAAGCAGTATATTAAATCTAAGGCTTGAAAAGCTGGCCACTTGAACAGTGCCAACTCAAGGAAGGTGGCTTGATTTCCCTTTGATTTTATATTTAAGTAATTGCTATGAAATGATGTGGGTGTTATTTCTCTCAAATGCTGCTGTTTTGAAACTTAACTCTTCAGTATTTTCTGCACGCATCCCTTCACACCCTGGAATTTCAAATAACTGGCAGAAATTGGCAGCACTGTTTATTCTTAGAAGAGAGGTAAAGGTCTGAAATGGTATGACATTATTGCACCTTAAATGTGATCTCATCAAATAAGTCTACAAGTCTGAAAAATTCACAATTTTCCCTTAGGACTGCTTCAGCATTGGTTATGTTTTGTGGATTGTGCGTGTAGACCAAAACTAGCTGCAGCTGGCAGAAATAATTGATTGTTTTGATTTTAGTTCTTTGGAATGTGTCCTCATCTTACCACATGGATTAAAATAGGTATACAGAAACCCCCGTGCCAAGCTTCTGTTCCATCCTCACTGCCAGATTACACTGGGAAAAGCTGTCAAGTTTTTGCTGGTTTTCAAATGGGAAGCCCAATCCTGATATAGATGGCAGCCTGCCAAATTAAGTGCATAATGCCTCAGCTGAAAGGCTTTAAGAGCTTTTCTTCACTATGTGTCTAGAAGCTGGATGAGTTAATTCACGGCCTTAGGGAAAGATATACAGCACTAGGTTTTAGCCCCCCCAGTACTCCTGTGATGATGGCTCACTCTACAGTCTAAATTGTTCCAAACTGGTACTGAAGTTCTGGCTCTGTCAGCTCCAATGTGCCATATTTTGCAAGAGGCCACTGAATGAACAACCTCTGTGTTTTTTCTATACTGTTGTCAACTAGGACTTCACCAACTGCAGAACACTTCCTATTTCTTAAGGGGCATAAAGTGAGTAGAGCTCATGTGATGTTATTTACTCTGTACAAGAACTACTTCCCTTTTAATGAGAGTAATTTTTGTGACGCTCGCTTAACAGGAAGCAGTGAGCTGGTACATCTCTGTTGCCACTGCTCCAGTTCATCACTTAACCCTCATAAATACTGGAGAAATAGAGAAGACATGACACCCGAGTTTGTGATGAAACCTACCCAAACCTTCCTTGTGATCAGCCTGGATCAGAGTGGGCCCTGCAGGCTCATCATAAATGAGCTAAAATATTTCTACAAAGAACGGTTTCTGATTCTGCAATTTCTCCGGATTCCTCATTAGCCCTTAATAATAGTGATGCCTCTGGTAGCCTAAGAATATCCTGTTTGAAAGAAACATTCTAGTAGCATGTTTGTATTAGTCAGACTGACTGAAGACAAGTACGAGTACTGGAAGGCTTCTTAATGAATAATTTCAATGTAAAAAATTCGTATTATTTATTAATTATGTAAAAAACATAACGGGGTTCTGGATACAAGGCATAAGACAAAATAATAAGTCCAGTCAGCACTGTTTTGAAATACTTTTATTTGGTTCAGTAGGATCTACTGTTTTATTTAAGTTCCACAAAATGCTATTTTTCCTGTTTCTTCCTGGATCTCTGTTCATATTTGATATCATTTATCACAGAAAAGATTGCTTCCTGGGGAGTTCAGTTACACATGCCATTCAAGTGATCCTGACAGGGACGAATGATAATAAAAATTATCCTTCCTTTGAATGTGTTTTGGATTACATTGCAGCAATATTGGATAGAGCTGTAGGGGGATACACGCAAGAAATACAGGGTTATTTGTGCATGTGGTTTGCCATTCCCTTCTTGACAACACTCAATCTACATGCCTTTTCTTTATTTATAGGCAAGCAGCATGCTGACATTTCACTATTCCTTTGGCTCAACAGTTCAGACTACAGTCACAGCAAGAAAAGCAACCCTTGTAACCATGACTCGCCTAAGATTAATTTCACTGGATTTCCCAAGAATTACTTAGTAATTTGAAAGGTAAGCCATGGTGTTAATTTGCAGGAATTTTGAAAAGAGAAGGTTACATTTTCAGTTAAAAAAAAAAAAGAAAAGAAAAGAATGGTATTGGTACGATAATGAAGACACTGGAAAATGACATAAATACAGTTTACATTTTAATAATAATTACAGGAGACAGTGCGTGCAGTCCTATTATGCAAGACAATGTTTGCCTTTATCTAGTGCTGGACTTGAATTAGAATGCAAGGGCTAAATGTCAGTCATAATTTATTCTTATTTGTGTTCATTACTGACAGAAACAGGAATGATCATGTATAAAGAAGCACAAATGGAAATGTGATGGTTTAAAGTTGTGCAACTGTAATTAAAAGGAAGAAAAAGGTGTATGAATTGAGATAGACTGTAGTTCATTTCAGTAACATGTTGGGGTACTATCATCATGGGCACATTAGAAATAACAAGGGTGGTATTTCATCTCCCGTGCTGTTTTAATACAACTTCTGTCGCACATTAATAAATTATGAACAGTTATGGAAGTATTAGGAAGTATTACTCTTCAGAAAGGGTGGACAGGCATTGGGATGGACTGCCCAGGGAGGCGGTGGAGTCACCGACCCTGGGGGTGTTCAAGGAAAGGCTGGATGCTGTGTTGAGGGACATGGTTTAGTGGGAGCTATTGGGAATAGGTGAACGGTTGGACTGGATGATCTTTTAGGTGTTTTCCAACCTTGGTGATTCTATGATTCTATGGTTGTCCCCTGGAAGTTTTTACGTGGGAATGATACACTATGAATATGCTATTTATTCTCACAAAGGACTATGACTGTTGAAGCATTTATGAGTAAATTAAATGGAAATTATATCTCTCAAATAGAAGGTGTTGGTCACTTAAGATAGCAAAACACTTAAAACTCAAGTAGAAATTCACTTTTTGGGGAGAACAGGGAGTATATTTTATGTGCTTTAGTTTATTAAACTTGCTTTTAGACTCTGTACGGAAAAACTAGAGCTGCGAATTTCCAGAGTTCTTGAACAATTACTCAAAATTAAAAAAAAATAAAAATGGATGTTGTCGAGCATTGAATTTTTTTTCCAGTTCCTAGCTCATCAGATGTAAGGTTAGCCCATGTATAAACCCTTCTAGCTTCAAGTAGTTGGTTTTTATCAACAAAACATTTTTTTCACCTAGAAACAAAAGTATAAGTCATGCTACACTCAGAAATCTGTTTCAGCCAACATTATGTCAACAGTGTTGGACTTGAGTTGCAGCAACTCTCGATTTGGAGAATTAATAACTAGATTTAAGTTGCCACTACTCTCTAATGAGGCTGGAATGTGACCCGCACACCTAACCAGCCGTGAATAGAGAAGACAAAGCTCTAGGCTCATTTCTACTAATGTCTAAATAATATATTTTCTTGAGTGCTAATCCAAAAAAGGATCAGTGCTGCTGCTGCAGCAGTATATCAACATTCTGCAAGTGTAAGCCTCTGAGTGAACCAAGACACGGTTTATTCCAGAGCTCCTTAATATTTGTTTTCCTTTTGCTGTAAACTTTCCTTATGTCTTATTCTGGGACTGGCTGATAAACCCACATTAATCCCCTTGGAGCGTTGTATTTTGTGTAATTGTGTGAGATGAGACCAAGGTGTTGTCAGTATGTTTTACATTCTTTTTGCAAGTTTTTGCATTCCTTTTTGACTTTTAAATCATTGTTTTGCCAGTAAGAATTGTGTGTAGAACTCCTTTAAATACAGTCTTCCGATCTCGGTTAAATGGATGTGCTGTAGAGTATAAAGCCAAACTCCTGCTATGAAGGTGTCTCTTGATCTTTTACTTATCCACAGATAAGAATATCTACCTTGAGTTTCTCAGTGTATGCAACCCCAGCCTATCTGACTGGGGTGCGAAAGCATTAAAGTAAAGGCCCAAGAGGATCCTTTACTTTGCCTGTAGCTGTTTAGTTGGCAGTAGGGATGTAAGTTAAGCTATGAAACAGTGACTTTTTTTTTCTAGAGCAAACCCTCATTCCAATATGGATAGACAGATGTTTCTAATGTTTCTGAGAAACGAGCATGGAATGGTTGTCTTATGGTAGGTTATGCTGCCCAAAGTTGGAGTAACATACTGTGATGTAAGCTCAGTGAATCATCAGTAACTGTAGTGCAGTTGTTCACAGCTGAGCTGGAATGGTAGCTGGTTGCTGATCATCTGATTAACTGTAAGAGATGGAATGAATTTGCAGCCCAAAGAAAGAACATACTGTATGTGAAGACACTTGCATACACCAGGCAATAGGCCATCTTGCAGATTAAAGCTTCATCTGAGAGAGCTGCTTCAGGACTGATAGGTTGTTCCTGGCTACAGCACAGTGCTAAACACATGAGTTTTGTGAGGGTATCCTGGAAACTGATTCTGACACTGTCTTCCTTATTTTCCAGACCATTGAACTCCTACTGATCTGAAATTGAATGCTGTGGAGCTTCTTTAAACTGCTTCTGGCATTTAAATGGCATTGAAGGAAAGGATTTCACAGCAGATACGAAAGATTCCTGATAAAGTTACTTTGAGATGAGCATTCAGGAGATTTTGTCCACGGAAGAAACTTGGTTGGCCAATGGGAGCAGCAAGAAAGAATAAGGAAAGCACAGGTGAGTGCATCTGGGGTCGTTTCCCCTCCACAAATCCATGAATGTTGCTTCATATCCTTGGGAACGTGAGAGATTCCTGTTAAAATGGAGTAAAGCCTGTTACAAAGGGAGGAGAAGATTAGCTCTTCCTCTTAAGGTATAAAAACTGGAGGAAATTATACTCAACATATCTCTGCATTTTGTGCTTTTACTCCTAAAGCCCTTGCAGAATATGGCATTTCCTTTGCGAATTAATTTGTTAACAGCAGCTGTAAGATACAGACTGAATGGCTGTGTATCTTGGAGAAAACGGGTAAAAAACCACGATTTTTCGGAGTGAAAGAAACATTATGAAACACTTGAAAGAAAGTATGAGTAGCTACAGTCTGAGGAAGGCAGAGATTTGAGGCAGGCTAGAGGAGTTAAAGTATATCTATGTTGTGGAAGAGTAGAAGAGACTGGTGATGTAAAATCTTGCAGAAAAGATGATGTCATTGAAATCTAAAAAGGTTTGAATATCACACTTTTGGGGAATAGGAGTTAATCCAGGTTTTAGGTGAGAATTGTAGTCTACTGATACCTCTTAACAACTGGCTACAGCAAAGATCTGATTTAAGATGTACGTTTTCTCTGAGGAACTGTCCGTGAAACTCCAGATTTTGCCAACAATAGCTTGCAAAAATGCTGCTAACCTCTATCAGTCCAGACCTCATTACAGAATCACAGAATCACCCGGGTTGGAAGGGACCCCAAGGATCATGTAGTTCCAACCCCCCTGCCTAGCAGGGCCACCAAACATACACATTCAGATCAGGTTGCCCAGAACCCCGTCCAACCTGGCCTTGAACATGTCCAAGGACGGGGCATCCACAACCTCCCTGGGCAGCCCATTCCAGGGCCTAACCACTCTCCTAGTAAAGAACTTCCCCCTAACATCCAACCTAAATCTTCCCTCCTTCAACTTAAAACCATTTCCCCTAGTCCTGCTGTTATCAGCCCTTTTGAAGAGTTTACTCCCCTCCTGGGTGTAGGTTCCCTTCAGGTATTGATAGGCTGCAATGAGGTCACCCCGCAGCCTTCTCTTCTCCAGGCTGAACAAGCCCAACTCCCTCAGCCTGTCCCCATAGGGGAGGTGCTCCAGCCCCCTAATCATCTTAGTCGCCCTCCTCTGGACCCTTTCCAAAATCTCAATGTCTTTCTTGTACTGACAACTCATTGGGTATGCCAGACACTTGGCAGGTATTTGGTTTTCACTTGGGTAACTAAAATGGGCGATTTGGTTACTGTCGTGCCATCAGACTATAAATTTAATCTTTGTGTGTTTTTTAATGATGTAAAACTATTCATATTGAATGATGCAATTCTGTAATTATGAGTGGTGGAAAAATTCCTGAACACTGAACAGGAATAAGTATATGCAAAGTAAGAAGGAAGTTAAAAAATAAAATAATAAAAAAAAAAAAAGATAAGGCCTCTACTGTTTGTATTGCAACAAACTTTGATATCAAAGGGTTTAACAAGAATTCTATCTCTGGCAGTAAAACCAGCAGATTGCTTTGTGGTAGCAATATATCTATAACATAAAATGATTTCTGTTATTTAGAAGGAAGCATAGTTCGGCAGCTCAATTTTTCATCCGGCTTCTAAAGAGTACAGGAATCTCCTTGATAACTCAGGTGTTATTAGGTCAGAAACTACAGTTATTTAAACAAGTATGTATAAGTGGAGTGCAGTACCCCTAAAAATCTAGCAAAATAGATTCTCATAAGCGTGAGTGTGAACTACATAAGTTTCTTGGTATAAGTCTCATTAAAACTGATCTGGAGGCCCAGGTGATGGGTACACTTGCCATCATCTATTTTGTATTGACATTAAGTATTTAGAATAGTGATAATGGTACAAAATGGAAAAGACAGGAGTGATAGAATCAGATAAGAAGCAACAAAGACTGCTAATTGTTACTGAGGTATGCATGTCCTTCTTTATCAGATTAATTGAAAAATAGGCGTCTGAGAAACTCTGCTGTATTTCACACTGTGTTTGGCTGACTGGCTTAAAATGAGCAGGTGTCATCCAACATTCTGTCAGGGGGCCTAGCCAAGTACTCAATTAAAGCTATCTAACTGTTTTTCCACTCCTCAGCCCTTATTTAAAATAAATTGTTCTAAGAAGCTGCAGGTTGTTGAATGTATGATTGAAAGCTGTCTGTAACAGATAAAGTATATTTTTTAAAGCTGTGAACTGGTGGAATTCTATTTGTGAGAGTCTAATTTTTGAAAGAATTACATGTTTAGAAAAGTATATTCCCATTAGCAAACACACATTAAGGAAACTAGATTTACAACCTCATTAATATTAAACTCCTTGGCACTCGACTCACAAATCAGTGATTATGATGCAATTATTTAATTATGGAGTTATCCTATTACTGAATATTAATGTGCCTTTGTGAACACTTCTGATAAAAATGAACTGTGGTGATGGCCCTGCCTTCTCACCTGGTGCTCAATCACTGGTTCAGGCTGTGGCAGCATTTCCACTACAGTAACCATTTTCAGTGCTCAGGGAAACTTCTGTATTTACTATAGTGGACAAATTTATGACTCAATTTCACCTTTTGAAAATTCTTTAGGACTCTCCTACAAACTTGCATAATTTTTTCCCTTAACAGCTCCTGGCACTGAAATGCAAACTGTAGCAGAAAAGATGGACTCGTATCCTGGGGCTAGTTTTCTGGTTTTTTTAGGTGTTGTACTCGCATGTATTATCATATTGGACACATCTTACATGATGCTGTTGCCAGGATACTTAGCACAACATCAATGCTCTCTACTTATAGGATTTGTTTATAGAGTAAACAATCATACTTCAAAGTATGAACTAAAAATGCATTTGGCCATAGTAGCCTCTCTTTCTAGGAAGAATTCACCTCTCAAACAGCTCTTTCCCTTCTATATTTTCTCACTTCGTTTTACTTCTTTTCCTCAATCTCTTTAATCACAGAGGTGGTATAATTAGATTTCATTAGTAATATAAGACAAGAAATACTGTTTGGTGATGTGTAGCAGAAATGCTGAGTCACAGCTTGAACCAGTGATTGAGCACCTAGAGGAAGGCAGGGCCAACCCAGTGGAGCTCAGGTGCATGCAATGTACCTGAGTGAGCAGAAGGGGGTGGAGGCAGGGTCTGCCCCTTTGCAGACCTCATTTAATAGTTGGCAGTGGAGGTAAGGGTTTTTTCTGCTGGAGATTACTGTGTATCTGTGGCCTTCTGAAGGTAAGTGACTTGCTTTTGTTTTTTCCTTTGCATCTGTGCTTATACCTGTTGCTTTTGAGCGAAGTCCTTGCTTACTGTAGCTTAGGACTTTGCTACTCTGCTCTCTCTGCTGTGTTTTTCATCATGTTACTGTATTACAAGATGTTTGCTAATTGAAAAGATAGGAAAGTAAAGGGTACTTTTTGTCCAAGTTAAAAAAAAAAAACAGCTTAAGTAGTTAAAATTATTAGTAGAACTAATTCAAAAACAAGCAGCTCTGAAAACTCCTGAATAGTTTGTGTATTTGGTCACCTGTTTTATTTATTTATTTTGTGGATTACCCTATGGTTTCTGATAATTTGCAATTATTAGATTCTTTCTATGCATGCAGAAGTCTTTTTGTTGTTGTTGTTGTTCTTATACCAATCTCAGAATCCTTAGTTTCCTGTAGAGGTAATTTCAGTGTTTCTCTCAGAAAGGTTTTTATTCAAGGAAATCAATCATCTTCTATTTCTATCATCTTCACTTATCACAAAATCATCAATGTTTAGACTGTCATCCTGCTGATGTGATGGGAACAACGAGTAGTTGTAACAGCACAAAGGAGCCCAGCCTTATCTGGAGTCCTTTCAGGAAGCCTGCAGGCTCCTGATTCGTTATTCTCCAGCTACCCGAGAATGCATTTGACCAGATGAACACAAATGGAGATCCAATTATCAGGTCTCAACTCTTCACAGAGTCCATTTCCTATACTGGCTATATTGGCAGTGTTGCTCCTCTGTTGAGCAAGATCCTTGTTATTTTTACTCAGAACAAAAATAATGTTGTGTCTAAAGGCTACTTTTTCTCTTTTGCAAGCTCTTCATCCTTTGCATTTAAAAAAAAAATCTCTAGTCTGCTTTCTTTTGTGGTCTGAGGTTTCTGTATCTCTGCCGAACACTGATAGATTCATTGCAGGCTTCAGCTGCTTTGCAGAATCTGAATAGACACTGAGGCTACATAGGCAGCTTCAATTAAGCAGCTCTATGGAGCTGATATTTTGTTGTTGAAAAACAGTGTCTATTTGCAGGGACACACAAAGCAGCAATTCCAAGGATGCAAATCAGGACGAAATACTTAAAAGATAATAACTATTAAGGCAACTAATTGTAAATGTTCTGCAGAGAATACAAAGACCCATTTACCCAGTTGCTTCCTTCTGCTGTTCCATTGTGAAATTCCAAGTATGCACATTACAGCATTAGTACATATGGCAAAGTAGAATCCCAGTGAGAAATTTCCAGATTCTAGCAGCTAAATTACAGACTTTGAGACAATAAGATTTCTTTTCTAGGAGAAGTATAGCTATGAAATACACAGAGGTCTTTTTATTCCTACGCATATACACACAGCAGAGATTCTCAGTGCAGTACAACAGTGTATTTTGTCTTTCATCTTGCTTCTAAGACACAAGGATATTGTACTTCATACGGGACTTAAGTGCAGGACATGCGGTGGTGTGCTCTCTTTTAACTTTTGGTGTTTTTTTTCCCCTATTTACTTTTTCTTCCTCTCCTTTGTTTTCTATTTATTTATTTATTTTTTGTCTACTGGTTTATTTGCTGAGAAGCAGAAGAGGAGCTTTTTCCTTCTGGAGAAAATTTCTTGTGTGACTCCAGTTTTTGCTGTGTTTGAAACTGTTAAGTTCAATCCCCACCCCCATTTCCTTCTTCCCCTGGGTGTGGGAACCCAGCGGAACTTTTTTCTTGCGTTCCAATCTGAGCCAAATTATCACAAATTACTCTGTCTGGACTAAGCTATTATTAGATCAGCCAGTAACTCCAGCTGTTTTGGTTATTTCTACAACTGATTTTGCTGCTTGTTTAAAGCCTCAGAAGTACAGCTCTCTCCTTCAAGAACATACTTAACCAAGCATGGGGCTGTGTCACTAGGTCTGCTCAGGTGGAGCTACTCAGGAGCACTGTGTCAGAGCCCCATTTATCTCCTGAAGGCTTGTCTTCCCAATTACTTCCATTATTTGTACAGCTTTATCGAGTATCAAAATGCTGATGAAATGCTGCTTTGACAGAGCAATGCTGAAGCTGTTGATCACCTGAGAACACCAACATGAATGGATGTGAGGATCAGCTCGCACTCACAGTATGAATGAGTGTAGCTGGACAAGTGCTCACTAGAAAATAATTCCTTGTAAGAAACTAAGTTGTCTGTCTCTGTGCCCTTAGTCTTTGTGTATTAGCAGACAATGCTGTTTAGAGAAGTGAAGAGGGTGAAAGTGTACTCTCCTGATCATACTTAGGTATTATCCCACACACACTTTTTCTACAGGCATGTAAAGCAAAAAAAAAAAAAAAAGTGCCTCCAAGCTTTGAATACTTGTAGCATTTGCACACAGGCAGTGTGAATACACCAATGGACAACATATCCTGAGGAATTCTACCTAGTGGTAAGCTACCTCCTTGTGGAGGTAATGTACATTATCACATTGAGCTTTCTTGCAATAAGAAGCAAGAAAAAAAAGAAGGAAAATCCTGGTGTAAGGGTCTTAAGCAATGCTGCTTTAGATTTCGATTTTATTTGAATACTGGTTATTTTTACTTGTTTCCGGTGTTAGTGGCTGGAAATAGTTTCCAGTAGATTCTGGAAGTATGTTGGTTATTGCTACCTGAATCTTGTATCCACCTGTGAACTATATCACAGTCTGATCTCTTCCATTCTAGTGAAATCTGTTCTGGGCCAGTTCCAGGCATTTCTTAATCACCTCTAGCTCTGAGGAGGAACTTCAATGCTTGCTGCCATTGCCCAGTGGCAGAGCTTGGTATATGGCCAAGCTAGCATTTCAGAGACCTCATTGTTCTGTATAATCTAAGTACAGGGCTTTCATTTCTAAGTAAGACTTTCTCTAGGCTTTTACAATTGTGTTTTGGGTATATTAGAAACAGTCCTCTCTGTTCTTACTACATTCATTACCCCTTTTCCACTGTGTCCATGTTTGTCTTCTATATAATTTTAGGCTCCCAGCTGTTGCTATGCATAGTGAAAATTCTAAGTCATGGCCTGAAGCAGTGATTGAGCAGGGCCACCCCAGGGGAGCTCAGATATATGCAATGCACCTAAGTGAGCAGAGGGGTGGAACCAGCATCCATCCCTTCCCAGACCTCATTTAAGGGCTGGCAGTGGAGGCAAGGGAATCTCACTGGAGATCACTGTGTACCCGAGGCCTTCCAAGGGTAAGCAGCTTTTTTTTCTTTGCTTCTGTGTCCATGTCTGCTGCACTTGGGCTTGTCCTCACTTGCTGCAGCCTAGGACTTTGCTACCCTGCTGTTACTGCTATGTTTTCCATCATGTTATACTGCTACACCATGTTACTCTGTGGAGCTTCATATCTAGAAACCTTCTTTGACTGTGATGCGGATCTGGCTATCTGGTTTTATTGCTCTTTGTTACTTTGTGGGTAGTGGTATTTAGGCGCTGAAAACAGGTGTAGCATTATTGCTCTATAGCAGAGAACTAGAGTACAAACAACACATCATGTCTGTTTTATGTGAGATTCTTGTCTCATACATGTTCCAGTGACTTTACTCCCTTCCGGTGTTCCTCACACTTTTCTGTGTTAGAACTGCTTTTTTTTTTTTTTTCTTCTTAGAGATAAGGCCTTCTGGTGAACCTCCTTAGAGTGTCTGTGGCAGAATTGCACCGTAGAGGAATTCTATACCCAGACTGGATCAATTGCAAGCCTTTATCTGGCATTGGAATTTGTGAGGTCTTTTTGCCAACACCCACTCCTCTCATGCAGAGCTCATCTGAAGCATGTGACTTTTGACAACACGTACTTGTGGTGACAGGTTTGACTTGTCTGTAATACACTCCTACTGTACATTCAGTTTTATGACTAGCCTTAGGTCCTTCTATAGCATGTGCTTAGTACTATTATGTCCCTTAAACACTAAATGCTTGAGGTGGGGGGTGGTGTTGGGGGGAGGGCAGGAAGGTAAAAACTCTTAACACTCAAGGACTGGAGCAGAAATAAAAGCACAGCCCATCTTTTGTTTTTATGTGTTATATACTTTTTCTTCCTGAATAGTACTTCATTCAGTGCATGGAGTCGATGGTGCTTACGGAATAAACACAGATATTGCTCAACATGGGGATTACTTAGTATTTTCTCGTCCTGCTCTAATGTACTGTCACACTTTTTTTTTTTTTTTTACTGGCCATGATCTACCTGCTCCAAAGCTGAGTTTTACTTCCTCATATACTCTTTCCTCAGTAAGGTTCACTGTGGAGTCACTGGTAAAAAGCTTTATGAACTGGTTTTATGGTAACTTGTATTACAAGATGGAACAATGTTATTTTGCTTCTAGATACAATTGGGGTGGCCCTGGAAAAAAAAAAAAGCTGAAACTGTAACTGAGTTTCAAGTGTCCAACCTGCAGTGCAGCCAGATGTTGCATATCACTTTAGTACTGGAAGTGTGCACTTCATTGCTTCAAGTGCATCCATAAGACCACTTCTTAAGAGGTTTAAGAGAGCCCCTTGTGAACCTCATGCCAAAAACCACATCCTCCAGCTTCTAAGTTGGAGCTTGCCGTTGTTTGAATGCCTTCCTTCACACAGCTCTAAGGTGATGGACCTCCCAGAGCCCAGATCAGCAGGGTTAGACTGCATTTCTTATCTCTATTTCTTTTCTTTTCGTTTTTTTTTATATTTACTTTTATTTTATTTATTTATTTATTTTTTGACATCTCCTACGCTTCTCTTCCTGTCCAGGTCTTCTCACGATGGAGCAGGACACCTGCCCCGACAGCACCCTGCATCTTGCAGGATGCCGGAGCCCTGCCGTGATGACACCTGCACCTCCACGAACTGCTCGAGTTCCCGGTTTGCCAGCTCCCTCGCAGTAAGCAGCCTTTTTGTCTTCTTACGCTTGGCTTTTAAATGGAAGCAAGACCTCGACCGCACTCCCATCATCGTGTACTGCGGTGCCGCTCGGGACCCACGCAGGCCTGCCCGGCGCGATCCCGGCCCGCTGTAGCCGCGAGGTGCCCGGCGCGGCGCTGCCCGCCGGCGGCCGCAGGTTCCTCCCCTCGCTGTCTCCTCCGCCCCCTTTTGTAGTGGTGCAAGGCGGCCGTGGGGCTTCCTGCTGACGCCGAGCCGCGGATGGGCAGGAAGGGCAGCCGGCGTCTCCGCTGCCTTTCCTCCTCTCGCCGCCGCCGCCTCCTCCTCGGCAGCCGGCCGCCTCCTCGCCCCAGCTCGCCCCGCCGGCAGGAGCGCGACAGCTCGCGGGCAGGGCGCAGGTGCGAGGCAGGCCCGGCGGGGACGGGCTCGGGGACGAGCGGCCGCGCTGAGGGAGGGCGCCGGCCTCCCCCGCCGTCCTGGGAAGGGGCGGGAGGGCCCCCGGCCGGCTATGGTAGCCCCCGGCCTTTGAGCGGCGTCGGCCGCGCCCCCTTGCCGATGGCCGAAGCCTGGAGGTTGGAGGAGGACGAGGAGGAGCTGCGGGAGCTCGGCAGGAGGCACCGCCGGGCCCTGGGCTCGGCAGCAGGTGAGGAGCAGGCGAGGGTCTGGGGAAGGCGAGCCGCCGGGCTGCGGTGTCGGCCGTCTGAGGACCGCCAGGCCGAGCGGTCGGAGCCTCCCTGCTGGAAGGACGCGTGGGCTCCCGGCTGTGAGTTGTGAGAGGATGGCCGGGGTGTTCCACGCTGAACAATTGATGCTTGAATACCTGGTGTCCCCTCAGTGACCAGCCCTTGCCTGGTTGGTGGGACTGGATTCCTACGTTAGGGTGGTTCGCATTAGCAGCTCTGCTGAAGCATGCTGACCCAGTCGTTTTCAATAAAATGAATTCAGTAGGGGTACATCTGTACCTTGCCTTGTGTCAACTGAAAGCATGTGCTCTGAGAGATTGCTCTTCTAACCTAATGGTGACATAGATGTGGGTTGCCCACCAAGCGCATCCAAATATTTAACATACCGTGAGATAAAATGCGTGACTGATTCATCTTGTAAATCCTGGGGTGGAGGATCACCTAGATTTAAAAGTTGTCCGCGTGTAACTATTTCCGTGTAGGTAAGGATGGCAAGCCTTGGCAAACAGGAGGTAAGAACTTGTGTGTACAAGAAAGAGTGGAGACAGGAGGCTGGAAGCAAACTTCATAGTGACTTGACGGAAATCAGATTTTATTTGATGTGGTGAAATCCAGTGGGCCCTGTCAGCAGTTGAAGTGATTTCTTTAATACAGTTCTCACTGTTAATTGACAAGCAATGCTTGTATCACATTTTCCATGATAACTAAATGGGTAAATGTGGCCTTTTACCTCTTCTCTGTAAAATTTCCTTTAGATTGAATTGTTTTTATAAGGTTTGTTTCCAGGACAATTACCAGCTACTCTTCCTATTTCAAATTGGATTCCAAATATAGTGGTATTTAGTAATTATCATAGAACCTTAATAATTTAATAACTTGTACAATTCATGTGGTTTTGCTTCCTTTTGAGCAGCAGGAACATTCCCTTGTAGATGAGAAAAACATAGCAATTTGGGGGATCTTACTGCAGAGGAAAGCTCACAACATGCTTGTCCTGTGGCTCCCCACAGCCCAGCTGTGTGAGTGCATTCCTGGGCAGGTGCTAGATTCACAGCTGCTGTTGTGGCTTGGCACATGCGCAGCATTTCGCCTCATCGAGGGCAGGGTGCAAAACCAGCGTTGGTTCCTGTACAACTTCTTTAGTAGCAAAACATGAGCTGCTAGTTCTGGTGTCCTTTAAAGGTTTGTTTGGAGACTTATTGGTGGAAAACATTTCTTTCTACTGTTCATATATATACATATATAATTCTAGTTTTTTCTTGTTGTGAAACAAAGCTTGTTCCTGGATTTTCTCTTGGGTGTAATGCTACTAATGAGTAGTAAATAACACTTCTTCAGTTGTTAAGTTTTCATTATTATTTTGTCCTAGCATCCCTCTCTAAAGCAGCCAGACACTGCCTACCTGACTTGTGTAAAGAATGTGTAAATGATGAATGTTCTGCTGTGGCTGTCGCTCCTCCCTTCCATCTGTTCTAAAGACTATGCATTGGAAAGCAGACGTAAAGCCTGCCAGCAGTGTTCTTAAGGCATCCGTGAGAAATATCTTGTTAGGTGGATGAGTTTGTTGTCCTTCCCTTGTTTGATGGTTTCTTGTACTGTAATCTACAAGCCTCTTGAAAATTGTATTTTTTGTGTATTATGTGCAGTTACAATAACAAAGCGTTAGCGTAGTTCAGCACTGAATAACTTAATGAATGTTTTTACAGGGCTTGAAAGGAGCTGATGCATTTTAGCTGACTGTCAATCGAAGCATTTCAATCTGTTAAACTAACGGTGATGATGTGCAAGTTTAATTTCTGGTAGGTTCAGTGTATGCATGAGAGTAGGGGCAGTTGCTCACCTTTGCCCTGCACAAACAAGGCTTGTATGCAAAGCAAGAGGCAGTTAGTTGAAAGATGAAAGTTCGGAAATGCTTCAGTGTTATAAAACACTCAGACATGAAATTAGCAGTGCTTTACTGGAGGACCAGAGTACAGGATGCCATTGAATGAAGGGCTGTTTGTCCAGGAAGTTAGTCGCAGTTGTGCTACTCTGGACACAAGAGGGTGAAGCAAACTAATCTAGCAGCTTGCTGTCAGGAGGATTCATGACTTCCTTGGACGTACCGTTCTGCTCTCTCTGGGGTGACAAGCTCTGCTACTTGTCTGACCTGCTGGTGAGCCAAGTGTGCTTTTGTGGCAGCATGGGCTGATTGCTCTGGTGGCTGTGGAGGCTGAGCTCTGAGTTCTTGTGTTCACTAGGACGTGCACCGACCTGTTTCAGTGCACTGGCCCAGCAGAAAGCTGTTTTTCGTCTCTTTGGTAGATGACGTTCTGCTGATTCAGCTTGCTGAAGTGGTTCTGTACAGAATCTGATGAATGTTGAAGCTGGCACAAAAGAGAGAGTGGGAACATGAGGCCTGAGGGAGGTAAGATTCTATGCCAGCCAGGAGTTAGTTTGGCTTGGATTGTTGAGAAAATATAGCTTGAGCTGTTGGAGATCTACTTGTGTGTTTTTCTTTTTTTCATGGATTAGATAGGGTGTTTGGATTTATTTTTGCTGGTTTAATAAGCTGAAGAATCTTGCTGAAGCAGTAGGCAAGTGTCAGCACTGATGTTAAAGTAGGGAATGGCTACCTGTAGATGTTGCTGGATGAGGTGGGATCAGAGCCTTGCTTGTCCATGACAGTTCATCTTAGATAGCTTAACTACGTTGTGTGATGGCCTATTTACACCATTGCATGTCATGCCAATGGGTGAGTTATCTCTGAATTCAAGAAAGCTTTTTTTGATTAGCATATTCTGGAAAAACTGGAAGAAAACAGGAGCAAAGCACTTGAAGAATCATATTAATAGAATGGTTTTCTTTTGGAAAAAATGCTGGTTGTCTTGGTTTTATTTCTTTTCACTGTTCAAGTAATAGGAAATAAAACTAGGATATATTCTTAAAAAAAAACTACACAGGTAAATGAGATGGAATTGCTCCTATGAGGAACTTTTTTAAACAATATAAATAAAATAATGTGATTCTTTATTCCCTTCTTTTGTTCCATATTTGGGCTGCATACATTCTTATTCAAGGAAGTTACAGAGAACATTCTAACAATCTTGAATTTCAACAGATTTTTTTTAATTTAGAGTATTAGTATTCTTTATTAAAAAAGTGCTGTGAATATTAAAAAAGAAAAATCAAACAAACTTAAGGTGTTCTATTCCTTTAGACTTATTTATCCAATTTAACTTTGGACTCTGTGGTATGCTTTCCTGTGTTGAGTAGCTTTGTATTTTGTGTGTACATAGTAAAATAAGTGCATTTCCTGGAGACCTTATAGTGAGTCCAGTAAATCTTAGTTATGAATTGTTTTGGTTAATTTTGTGTCTGTCCACTAAAGACTTCCCCTGTTAGGAGTGAGAGAAAATCTCAGTATTCTGGTGTTACCTGAAGCACATGTGGAATTTAAACTCATTTAGCATGTATGTCATTTCACTTTGAATTCTAGTCAGTGTTCCTACAAAAAGGTGAATCTGTAATGGAGGTAGCAGATGTTTCTTTATTTCAAATAAGAAGAAAAATAGCCAAATGTAGAAGTCAGTAATAAAATTTAAGTTCATAATGAAGAGCTATTGTGATTTTTAATTTAATGTGCAGTTAAAACTACAGATGGCCAGTAGTACAGAAAGACATTAACTTAATTTAATATTATTCTGTTTTTATGGCAAATGTTTGTCTGTGGTTTGCTCCTGCTCAGTGGCTATAAATTTTGCTATGTTGACTAAAATATTTGATGGTTTTTTTTCCTGTTTCTTCCCACAATTTGGGAGCGTTTTCTGGAACTTATCAGCTCTACTGGGCAAATTTAGGTTATGGGTGAAATTATTGTTTTTTGGTTGGTCAGTTGAATGGATGTTTTGGTTTTCAGCCAAAACAAGATCCAGTTAAGATGGATCAATTTCTTTTATACTCCCACAACTCCCACATCACACTGGTGCTGACTTGTTTTGGAAGCTGAGAACAATGAGCTGTGTCAAATGTGACAAATTAAGGTTGAACATTGCCTCTCTCAACATGCTGAGAAATTAAGGCGGTATGTTGGTGGAGTGTGGCTGAAGAAATGCAGGGAACAGTACTTTGCAGGCATCAGGGACTTTTTTTTTTGCAGATAATATTTGCTACAAGAGTGTTGTAGTTGTTCCCAAATGACTTTATATGTGTTCAGTCTCCAGGATAAAAGAGTAAGGTCTGAGACTGTTCATGGAATTCAGCCTGTAACTGAGTGATGATCTTCTTTAGGGTTCACTGGATCATAATATGAACAGCTTGGTCATAACAGCTCCCATGGGGTTCTGTGACCCTGGGGTAGAGAGAAAAATGTGATGCAGAGAAAGTGGCTGTAGAAGTTAGGTGTTGTATTACTATAGGCTTAACTAAACCTTACATTTATGAAGTGGAACAATCTGCTTCTGCTTACAGAAGTCAGGAATGGTCAACTGGGATCTTTGTCATCAGCATTCTTGTGTCCTTCAGTACTGATCTGGAAGTTGTTCCACTTTTCTGTAGTGAGAGTAACCAACTCAAAAGGGGAGAAGATAACAACAGATCAATTGTATTGAATGAATGCTAAGTATACCTGTGATCTGCTAGCCTGTCCGTCCGCACACAAGAAGTCCTTGAAAAGATTAGTTTTGTGAGCATTTATTTAATCAGATGGATCACGAGTTGAAGAGGTGGAAAGGTTGGTTGCCAGCTGGATTAAGAGCTCTTTTTTCTTGGGATTTGGTCTATTTTAGTTTTTGCAGTCCCAATTCAGGCTCAAGGGCTTCCAGCTTTGTGATTGAGGCACCACACAGTAAAGCACTTAAAGAACACCAATAATGTAATGCTTATGTAATAATCTCATGCTAGAGCTAGTATGTTATATCAGGTAAGGATTACCTGATAAGGTTTTTGCTATAGCTTACTGAAGTTATTGCATGTTTCCCCT